GAGCGAGAGAGAGAGAGAGAGAGAGAGATTTACATTAGCTGGTTGGCAAAAACCACTTAGCGGGTAAACTAACCACACCTAATGCAAAACGGGTGAGCTGCACGAGGGTGTGTGTGTGTGTTTGTTTACGCGCGGGGGGGTGGAAGCGGGGAGAGGAACTGTAGTCTATAAGAAATGGGGCGCCGTTTGCCAGGACAAGAAACTCGCTGCCTGCTGCCGGCGCTTCCTTATGGCTTTCTTCAGAAAGTTTGAACAGCAAATCCAACAAAGGGCCAAGGCAGACAACGCAGTCGGGACACCCCGCACGCCCACAGACCCCTCCCACTCGCCACTCCACGCAATTGCCCACTGCCTGCTTGTTGTCAGGAAAAAGAAGAGGATATAGGAGGTGCAGAAGAAGTCAACCCAAAATGGAAGCCAAAACAGGAAGTAATCTATAGTCGCCCCGCCATTGTTTATTGTTTAATTTTTAGTCAGCTTTATGTTGTTGTTGTCGTTGTTGTTGCTGCTCCCCTTACTCCGCCTCTGCCACTGCTCAATTTTTTCTTTGCGTCTGCTGCTTCGTTGTATTATTTTCTATTGTTAACAATTTTTGCATTTGCCCCGTTGCAAGTAGCAAAAACTTTTCAATGTGCCGCCGCCGTAGCCATTGTTCCTTGCCACCAACCCCCCTGCCACACGCCTACCCCAACCATCCCTCTTTGGACACTGCTCTACATAACGCTGCCACTTGAGCAGCACAAAAGCAACGAGGTAAAAGGCAGACAAAAGCCAAACCCAAAACGACGCCCACGCGCCAAAGACGTTGACAAGGCGACATTCGTGGGGCATCTTCCCCAGTGTTGCCCCTACCCCTTGCCTCCTGCTCAGTCACAGTTCGCAGCAAGACAGAAGCCCGTATCGCATTTACTTGGCTTTCGTTTTATCGGCTAGCGACAACAGCAGCAACAACAACAACAACAACAACAACAAGAGCAATAACAATAACAATGTCACCCAGTTTCCATGGCATTCACCACGTCTGACACCCCAGATACTCCTCGGACTACCTTATAATTGCGTTGCGGTGTCTGCCGCTCAGTCGGGTTATGCAACCAGAACAGCAGCAGAAGAAGAAGCAGCAGCAGCGGCAGCAGGAATAGGACACAGCAGCTGGCAACCAGAAGAAGCCAACAGGAGTCGCCAACGATTATGGTTATATGCTGTCGGGAACTTCAACCCCCAACTCGGAACCCAACTCAAGCGCCAAGGATAGATATAGATATAGATGTAGATATAGCTATAGTCGAGGCGCTGGCAGCTCTTCAAAAGGGTTTTTCGTGTTTCTGTTTCTTTCAAATATAGTCACAGAAAGCAAACACCGGGGACACATTAGCTGTATAGCTGCAATAAATAAATATATGAAGTAAAAACTTATGCTAGTGTTGTAAAATGGCGAATTTTAACACAGAATGCTGCATAGATATTATCTATGTGGAGCAACAAATACATATATAATATAGTTTACCCTAGCAAAGGCATTTTTTACGCTTCCATTTACTTTTGGGCAGAATGTGGATCGATTGCCTGGCTACTAGTGTTGCAAATGGTTATATATGTATATTATATGCTAATAATCTTGCAAAAGGCAATATAGATTGTTCAACTCTGGAAGAGATGAATTTTTGAAAACTATCGGAACTAAAGCAATTGCTTAACAATGTTGTAAAACGTTCTTATCTTAAGATTAGATTTAGAATGCACTCATAAACTCTAAGTGTAGCTGCTAGGGTATTTAAACTTCGGCAAGCCGAGGCATTACATTTTTGTCTAGTTATGTATGTATTTTAATTTTACCTCAACCAATTAGCTAATAACCAGACTCAATTAGTTGCACATCAATAATTTGTGCATTCATTATTATTAAGTCGAAATTTGATCCCGAACCGAGTTGAAAACACGTTTTTCACCCATTTCAGATATCAATTACCTCTGCAGCGTGGAAAAATATCACATTTTTATACGTAATTAAAATAAAACATGAAATAAAAAATTGAATTTAAAAACATTAAAATTCATTAAAATATTTAGAGAAAATTTGAGTAACAGAAGAAAAAAAAGTTTGTGAAATAAATTGCATTCTGAATTGTTGTAAAAAGTTCTTGAATTTTTTTTTCAGTTTTTTTTTTTTCATATTTGTTAAACATCCTTTTGGTATGCGCTTTAAGAGAGCGTTATGTGTGTGGATAGGTGTGTGTGTGTGTGAGTGTGTGTGTGTGTGTGGGTGATATTCTGTTTGTTGTATTTGGAAAACATAGAAACAAATGGCTTAGACGCAGACAAATAGGACACTTGGGATAACGTTTGGGAGGGAATTTTCGGGGTTTCTTCTTTTTTTTTAATTTATTTTATTTTATATTATCTCTTTTTTTTTCTTTTTTAGGGGAATTCAACATATAAGGATATATATAGTTTTTTTTTTGTTTTTATATCATTTGCTTTATATTATTTGACTTTGGTATTTTTTTCTGCTTCTTCTTCAGTTACATGTAGAGAAAAAGATATATATAAGTAGCTGCTTTGGCATTTTACAATAATACTGAAGACCTATTTATTTATTTATAAATTTTTTTTTTGGTTGGGCAAGTCTCGACTTGCTGCCTAATTTGTTGTTGTACTTTATTTTATTCATTAAATTAAGAAAAAATGAAAAATTATGTTTTGTTAACTGAAAAAAGGTTTTCTATATTTAAGATGATTTTTCCTTTTTATATTATAAAAAGCTTTGATCGAAACGAAAAACTAAATGACAAAACGTAATGAGTTACATAGAGTTCAAAGAGAGCGAAAGAGAATGAAAAATATATAGATAGATAGAGGCAGAGAGAAAGAGAAGATGTAAAGATGTGACAAAAACTTGGTACGATGATAAGTAGAAAAAAAGGAAGAAGAGAACAAAAGCAAGGAAATGAAGAAACAAATGGTTAACACTTGGATTTGGTGGAATGAGAGAGAAATTCACTTAGTTATGAGGTGAACTTTTTTGTTGTTGTGGTAACGAGTGACGAGTGGCGAGAGCAAGAGAGAGACAGAGAGCGAGAGAGAGAGAGAGTGATATAGAGAGTAACGAGTATTTTGTGTAGCGAACGAGTGACTGATCTTTAAATAAGGGAAAAACTAAAGATAGACGATTGAATGTATGCTCATGCTTTAACTAAAACTCGTACTCAAAACAATCGGCTTAAGAATCGAAAAAAAATGATGTTCAAAAAATCAAAACACATATTTTTTTGTTTGCTGTAGCTGTTGTTGTTTTTCTTGTTTTGTTGTTGTTGAGTTTCTTTTTGGCCTACTGTTAGTATGCATGTTAATATTTGTTAATCATAAAATGGGTAAAAAAAAAAAGCGGAAATGTATAACCAACTTAATACACATAGACACGTACACATAACACATACAAATACAAGTACAAATACAAATACAAATACGAATACAAATATATAGTTGGATTATTTTCATAATGTAATTTTTCGGTTGCGATTCTTGCAGATGCAATTTTCCAGTACCTTTTATATCATTATTTTTATACCCTGAACCCACTGAAAGTCGTTCAAAATGGCATGTTGTTTCTATGCACATGCATGTAACAGGCAGAAGGAGGCGTCGATCCTACAGAGTAGTTTTATTCTCTGAGTCCATCTAGTCATGTCTGTCAGTCTGTTCATCTGAGTGAGAAACTTGGAGCGATATTTATAGACTTATATCTCACTTCTTTTCTTTCGTAATTATCTTTTAATATCTCCTTCAATATTCATCTTATCCCCCATTTCTTTCCACATTTGCTTGCTATATTTCATCCCTGAAAATGTCATACGGATCGGACTACAAACACCAAAGTTACTCAAGCATGCATTTGCCATACTTGCTGTAGTCGCTAAAGTAAGAAGAAGCACATCCAACGGGATGCATTTCAGTGTATGTGTATTTCCCTTGCATGTATATGAAAAGGTCAGCTTGGCACTGGGTTCAGGGTATCTGCTAGTCGATCAGTTTTCCGACCAGAGCACTCTTAATATTACTTGGCCCTAAAAAGTATGCTATTTAATTGAATCCTTTTGGTTGAGATGATAAAAAATAAATATATATGTTTCACGAAATGCACGAATTGTAGAAATGTATGTGAGAAAAAAAAACATATAAAAACAGTATCTGAAACTTTTATCCCCCGCATTTCGTTTAATATTATTATTTCTCTTATTTTTTCTGTTTTTTTTTTTTTTGCTTTTTTGCCATACTTAATTTGGTTGGGATTTATTTTATTTACATAAGTGAGTTGTTGACTTTTGGGTACTTTGAAATGCGTCAAATGGATAATTAATAATAAAGTAAAAAATGAGAGTGATAATAAATGGATGTATATAAAAAATACTGCATAACGCTGCGCAAGGGGTTGGTGGGGGGAAAGGTGTGTGGTCAAATGCGGAGCGGAGCGGAGCATCTCGAGTAGCAATTACAGCAGAAATGCAAGTCTGTTTTTTTCTTTTTTGGGTTATTTAAAACAACAATTTAAAGAGGAATTTTTCGACCTACAATAAACATACTTTAATTGGTTATTTCGGTACTTTTATTGGTATTTTTGGATATATTTATTATGCATTTGCTGCTGTAATGCTTGTAATGAAAACTAAACCATTTTTATTTAATTTAATTTTTCTTTTGTTTTTACTAAAGATGTTTTGTATGAGAGAGACTTTTGAATGGATGGAGAAAGTAATAAAAGAAACTCTTGTTTACTGGAAGTATTGAGATGCATAATGCTTATGTGGAATAAGAACAGAAAAACTCGATGCAGTTATATATGACGAAGAATGTAAAACCGAAAAAGAAACCAAAATTTTTGGCGACTACTTGGCTCAGTCCAAAAATTACAAAAAGTATTTTTCGTATTTCTTACGCCTGTGATTCCTTTCAAGTTTTATATTTGTTTTGTTTTGTTTTGTTTTTTGTTTTTTTCGACTTACCAAGGTGTGAACGAGCTCCAGAAGAGACTACAAGTTCACGGGTTGAAACGTAGTATTTTTTTGATATATTTTATATTTTTTTTTTTTTTTTTTTTTTTTTTGTTTGAATTGAATTTGTTAGGTTGATTGCAAAGGAAATGCAATTGATTTGTGTTGAAATTTGATTTGATTGATTTGGATTTTGGTTTAGCACACAACATGAAGGTATCGAGCCACAGCAACAGAGTAGGACAGTACACAATTAATTGACAGGACAATAAAAAAGAAATTAAAAGACAAAAATGCTTTTCGTTAACGAATTGATTCAAAGTTGAGATTTTGTTTTTTAAAATATACTTTGTTCTTTTGTTTTTTTGTTTTTTCTTTTTTTTTTTCATTTTTTTGTTAGCAATCGCTTGGCGATATATGAGGCATACCTAGAAGACGTTCTTAGCTTGAAACTAAAGCAATTGTTTAACCAAAATGAAAAATACATTAAACGTCACACGTTGAAAACGAAAGCATAAAACACATTTGACAAACACACTTAATTTGATATGAACTGGTTTCTAGCTGGATTTATTCTTTTTTCATTTCTGGCTTTTCTTTCTGGCAGCTTTTCGGTGAGTTGCTTGTGAAATACATGGGATATACATCGTCAGCAGGCGTCAGGCTTTTTTGGGTACATTTCTTGGGTTATTTATCAGCGATTCTTTTCAGTTTTAGTATGGTTAGTTGGTTAAATGTTCAACTTAGGATATCGTATGTTAATAAGTATATTACTTACAAATCATAAGGAATACTTGTAAGATGAAAACAAATTCGCTTTTAGACACACACAGTTACGGAAATGAGAAACAGTTCAAATCGAAAATAAAATGTCGATACACACACAAGTCAAATTGGATTTGGTACTTTTTTCTTCTTCTCTATCGAATATAGTTTTAAGTCCTTGTTTTGTTTACGAAATTGCATTCATTTCTTTTTTAGTATTTTCTTTATCTTTTTTTTTAGTCAAATTAGTATTCTGTTCTGTTTAGCACAATCACAATATTGTAAAATCAAAGAATACAACAACAAAAAAGTACACTTTCGACTATTTGACCGTGGCAAATTGTTTGGTTCTCGCATTTTGCATACATTTATCGAATATGTTTATTCATAGTTCGAAAATGAAAGTAGAAGAAACAAAGTACAAAAATATACATTACAAACCGAACCCAAGCAAATCAAACATAAATTTATTCACATCTCTGTGAGCAGTTACTATCTATATATTTACTTATCTAGATAAAATACTTAATAAATTAACCAAAAAACAAAAATTAAGGAAAAACTAGTTCAATTTGAGCAGCGAGCACATTGTGAGGTTAGGTCGAGCTAACCTCAAAATTAGCTCTGGAGAACCAAGTGCAAATGAGCAGAAAAGAAGGAACTCAATTAAAACTGTTAAGTATATGTTAAACTGTAGACCAAGTTCTTATATCAGCTCACTATATATGGGTCGTCATATATATATATATATACATATATATTTATATATATATTATATATACATAGATCGCAAGACATTAACAATCATCGTTTAAGCTTGTTGCATTTGTCGTGATTGTTGCACTTTTCGGGACAAACGTTTGTATTTTTAGTATTTCATTGTCATATATATAGTATTTTTTTCGTTTTTTTTTTTTTTTTTTTTTTGGGGGGTTAGACGAACACAAGGAGGTAAAACACTAGACAACACACATACTCAATGAAGTGCTATCATTATTTTCGCTTTGGATTTCTTTAAAATAGTTTTTTTTGATGAACCATTCATATTGTAATAGACAAAACGTAGAGTTGGAAAGAATGACAATAAAAAAAATAGAGCTCAACACAAAATGGAAAATAAATAGCTGTTCAAAAATACTAAATTAAATTACACAAAATTTTTGCGCTTTTGTAGCTTGGTTTTATTTTTTATTTATTTTTTTTTTTTAAGTACCTTCTACTTTTGAGGCAGGCAAGAAAAGAAAAAGCTCAAACTAAGAGAAAATTTGGCGCGCGAAGCGACCAGTCAGTATTTTATTTCCAAATCGGTATTTTTTTTTTTTTTTTTTCTTTTTAGGCCAGAAACTTAAATAAAACTTATAAGGAGGAAATAATAAAAAATCAGAGCACAAGTGAATGACACGAAAACATAAACGTTAATTCAACATTTTGTTTCTTTCTGTTTTAATTTTTTTCTTTCAAGATTTTTCAAATATTTTGAGGTTAGTTTGTAGCACGTCCAACGCATAAATGATAGACTCATTGAGGGGAGAGAGGCGTAAGGGATTGTGGGAATGTGATTGCGGGTATTTTGAATTTTTTTTTTGCATTTTTTTTTTGGTTTTTTTCTTTCTTTTTTGAATTAGATTCGATTTGTTGAGACTACTTGAATGTGTTCAGTTGAAGTTTGAAAACATATGTAAACAAGTTTCAATAACAATTTTTTATTTTGTAGAGGATTAAACAACTTTTGTGAAAGCATAAATAAAAATCAAATATATATATATATATATATATATATCTAGATATATAAGTATATATATGTATATATATATATCGTAAAGTATATACATATATGTATAAAAAGTTTTATAAAATCATAAAATAGAAACAAATATTTGAGCTTTTTCTCTTCGTTGATGCAGTACCACAAAACGTAAGATTAGGCAGCGATATATAATGGCTAAATGAAAATCTGGAACAGATTCAGGATCTGAAACTGAACTGAAGCTCTGCTCTGTGTTGCATACATGAATGTACGGTTGTCGAAAGATATATTCATGTATATGTAGATAGGTTTACAGGTACATTTATGTATACGAGCATAGAATAGAGTAGAGTATTATATACGCTTTTAACACACATCCTTCTTCTTCTTCATCAGCTTCTTCTGATTCGAATGTCTCGGAACTGAAGACAATCAACAATTGCTAATCGATAACAAAAAAATCAAGAATCATAACGTAAAACGTAAATCACAAACTCGATAAGTCGATAATACGTAAAGTAAAAAGTATTAAACAATTGCTCAATATAAAGCCTCATCCATTCGATTTTGCCCTAGGGCAATCGCATTCTCTGTTGACCTAAGCTGCGCACTAGGAAGTAATACAGCATATATGCATAAAGGGCCCCGATATTACGACTAGTCTAAAAAATTGGCATTGTACTTACTTCTCGCTATACTCATCCATATGCGCATACGACTGTACTGAGTTCTCTTCGATGAGGAACTTCACCCGCTGATAGAACGAGGCCGTCACCGAGGGCGGCTGCTTGCGGAGCAGCACCTCAACCGGATCGTTGGACGAGAGGCACATGATGTGCTCGGAGCAGGCTGGATGCGAGCAGCACTCGCTATCTGAACAGTCCGTCATGCCATCTATATGGTTATCATTGGGCATTAATTTCTCAGGTTCGCAAGGTTTGGTATTTACTGGACTCTACTTACCGCCATCGTTGTCAATGTTGTCCTTGCAGTTCATTTCCAAAGCTATGGAACAGTCGCTGCCAGCCCAGCCTTCAATACAATCGCAGCGATATTCGCCATTCTCCAGAGTGCACTGACCGTGACGTGAGCAGCCGTTCTCGCAACCAGCTGTAGGAGAGAGAGAGAGAGAGAAACAGAGAGAGAGTGTGTACAGTTGAGTGAGAACAATTACAGTATGGGAACAGTTTGTCAGCAAGTAAAAATATAACGAGAGACGTTAATCAGCGACAACTGAGAGCAGCGAGTACGAAGGCAAGTCAACAAGAACAGCTTATCCAAGCAGCGAGAAGGAGTTAGTGAGTGGAGAATGAGAAGAATCTATTGGCCAGTACGGAAGATCACTTGGCGAGAGAGGCCAGCTGAGAGCAAGTTATTAACTAGCAATAAAATTGAGTTAACGAGTACTAAACGAATGTAGGCAGTAAAAAACTGAATGGTTCGCAGAGTTCAACCGATTAAAGCTGAATGATGACGCTCAAGTACCAACGAGTAGTTTGTGTTCGCTGAATGCTTGACATTTTGTTGCAGATTATTTTTTATTTTATACGTGCTGCGAGTGAAGAGCATTAATATAAAAATAATGTTAATGTTTGCTCTTCAAGGCGCGCTCAAGTGCGTCGAACGCAGGGCTAGGAACAGGAGCTAGGGTGGGCAGGTCCAAAGTGCCCTTCGCACGCACATACACAACATCATAAACGAAATGTGGAGAAATCTACAAAACAGTAAACATAAAAAGCAAACGAAACGTAACGTTAGATGCCACCGTTGATGGGCCTGTTGGTTGGGTTGGGTTGGATTGGGGTTTCGGTCTGGAGTTGGGGTTCGGTTCGAGTTCGGGTTTGGGTTTGGGTTTATTTGTTTGTTCCACGACAGCAGTAGTAACAACAACAATGACATGGCAGCATTTGAGCATTTGACGCAAAGTTAATGTCACTTGACATGTGTCATTTGCAAAATGGGTAACCTCGACGCTAACTCAACTTCCGGTATGTTAAAAAGTTTGCGGCGCATAAAATGACTTCCTTGTCGTAACTGCCTTCCTGTTTACGACTCACACACGCATTCGATATGTACATATATATATATATATATATACATATATATATGTGTGTGTGTGTGTTCGTTTGTACACATATTGGCAATAACGTCAAGTGTTGCTGCCAATATTTGAACGATGTCTGCTGACGCTGCCTTTGCACAAACAATTTACATGAGAGCTCACGGGCTTGTGTTAGTGTGTGCGTATGTTGTGTGTGCTGTTCGTTTGTGAGTGTGTGTGTGTGAGCATAGGTACTGCGCCAAGTTTCCCACGTGCAGAAAACTGTCAAGTTGCATGGTATCAGCCAGCACGAAACTCAAAAATCCACTGCAAGTCCAACGCAAATACCATTAACAAAACTTATATTGGGCCAAGTAGCTGGTTGACTTGAGATACGTCAAAGTCTAAACTAAGGATGCGGCAAGTTATTTAACTCAGGACAGTAGAATGGAGTCATTTGTGGGGATTTCCTGCTAGACAACTCTGACCTTCCTCAGGTAACTCAGCTGTTTTACATGGTCCCAAGCTGAAACTGAAGAGGCATCGTTTTTATAGACGGCAGCTCTCAGGATTCCTCACTTAGTAATCCCGACTATCCTCAAGTATTAGATGCTTTTCTCTAGAGTACGATTTGCTGAAGTTCCTTAAAGGCAAGCCTGAACAAATTCAAGTAACTTAACTGTCCGCTCAAATCATATACTAAAACTAACAAACTATGAACTGCAGCAGTATTAATAAACTATTTTTTATAGTTCTAATTTCCAAACATTTTTGGCATGCATAAAGTTTTTTACAATTTTCCATGGCTGATAGTAAATTCTCGGCGCCGACTTTTAATAAAAAAAAAGGAGAGAAAATGCGGCATAACTTAACGTAAGTGCGGCATAAAATGTCGACGACTATTTCAGAACTTTGCCCACATTAGATGTCACCTACTAGCTAAGCTAGGAAGTCAGCGTGAGAGTGAGAGAGAGAGAGAGAGAGAGAGAGATAGTAAGAGTGAGAGCGGAATAGAGGGAGAGGTAGAAAGACGGAGCAGGTTGAGATTGAGAGACATAAAAATGTATCTAGATTTCAGGATTGCAGTCGTGTAATTTGTTACAAATCTCTGCTCAAATTCAATAAACTTTACCGCATTGTGTGTGTCGCGTATGCGAAGTGCCAGAGCAAGATAGCTAAAGTGAGACAGAGCGATACAGAGCGAGACAGAAGGTAAAGTCGTTAAGTACTTTCTAAAAATACAAACAGACATGCATGTAGTTGTACATGTGTGTGTGTGTGTGTGTGTCAGGATATTGGGTGGCACTTTGTGCTTGTGCAAGCGTGACTCGCACGTCTAAGCTACCGCTCCACTAAGCCCCCAATCCCCCCTGCAGCCCCTCCCGTAGCCCTAATTCAGAGCGCTGCTGCAACACTTGAATCGATTCAAAACGTTTTTGGCCGTATGTTGTCAGAGGAAGTTCCCACTGGGAATTGCGAATGGCGTTCGACATGGCGGCTTGCAAGCAGCCCGGCAACAGGGGCCCAGTGCCGTAGAGGGGGTGCCTGTAAGTGAGCATGAGCCAGGGGGGAGGGTTAAAGTGTGGGGGGGGGGGGGGGGGGGGGGTAGGTTCTGGAGTAAGTGTCTTTCTGCCTGGGCCCGAGTGAAATGACGTCGGAAGTTTTATTGGTTTTCCACACGTCAACGAAATGTAATACACACAGAGCGAGCGAGTGCGAGAGAGTAAGTGTGTGTGTATGTGTGTGAGAGAGAGAGAGAGTGAGTGAGTGAGATAGCTAGAGACAGGCAACATACGTAGACGTGGCCCCCTTTGAGGCAGGACTATGTGTAATGCCATTACATGCATGCCTGAATCGCCGTCGCCGTCGCCGTCGCCGTCGCCACCGTCGTCGTCGTCGTCGTCGTCGTCGTCGCCAGGGGGCCACACACACACACACACACTTACGCGCAAGCACACAGTCACCGTTCGGTTTCTATACAGAGCAAATGTTTTTGTAACATGACTGTTTGTTTTTAAAGTTTTAATCACTGTCAATCGATAGCTACTTATCATGCTGCACCGCTGCTGCCAAAGTGCTTCCCACAGCAGCAGCAGCAAACAACCGACCACACCCCCGCCAAACAGCCCCCTTGCAACGCCCCTCGCTGGACGACTGTGCGCGGGGCTTTTGCACTTTAATTGACAGTTGGCAAAATAAGCCTGGCCGAAAGAAAATAAAAGGCGCAAAATTGTTCGGTTGCTTGGTTAAATCAGCGCGACAAAACTGTCAAGCTCAGTACGTTGAGGGCGTGCCCTCTCCCCCTCCACACACACACACACACACACACACACACACACACACAGAGAGAGAGGATCCGCATGAACCAGGACACTTTGCAGTGCTCGCCCAAATGGCGTAAACATGTACAAAATACTTTGGCGCAAGTGTAAAAAATATTGATAAAAAGCATGACAACAACTGCAACAGCAACAGATTCGACTTGCTTGCAACTGCTGCAAAATATTTGAACACTGGCAATATCCGACGAGTGGGTCAGAAGGGGGCATGCATAAAAGCAGGAGCAGAGATAGCGACTGTAATGTCGCAATGTTTTTGGTTGGCTTGCCGCGTTGCGACATGACGCGACAAAGTTGTTGCCGCTGCAGTTGTTGCTGTTGTAGCTGTTGCTGTTGTTGCTGCTGCAGCTCAATGTGAAATGTGGAATGTCAGCTGTGGTTGCTCGGGTTTTTCGTATTGGCGCATGGCTAATCGATTGAGCGTCAGTTGTAAATGGTCAACAGCAACATCAGATTGCAACAGCAGCAGCAAAAGCAGCAACAGCAGCAACAATTGCAATTTCTGCTGAGGTCAAGGCAAGCCCGGGTCGCAAATATTCTTTGGTCATTTGCAGCGGTTTTTTCCTTGAGCTCAGAAATTTATTTATAATTAACTGTCTAACAACTGGCCACACTATAAATTACCTCAATATCAGTTGACAGTGTGACCATAAATGCAGAACATACACATTGCTTGAACCATTTTGGAATTATAATGCCGTATCTCAATTAATGCCATTTGCCAACCCTATTAAGCACGTTTGCAAAGTGCGAAGGCTTCTCAAAGGAGGTTTCTTTGGCATTGAATCAAACCTAGCGTAGGTAAATTTATGAGCAAATTATTCATGGCGAAAATTAATATGACATTTGACCAAACTCAACAGCTAATGCTAATATCATGGGGATCAAGTGCGTGCGAGCAAGCATTAGCATTAGCATTAGTTAAATTTAGGAATTGGCAGAGGTAAGAACTTGACCTTAACTTGATCAATTGAAACAAACAAAAAAGGTAATTTTTGCTGACAAATAATGTATTGAGAAAAGCCAAAAAGCCCTGAGGAATTTCTTGAGCACAGATTTTATGCAAAATTAGAGAGGTTACTGAGCAAAGTAGGAGCCTGGCAACTGTGCAAAGAGTGGCAAAAGATTTAAAAATAGGCATCTTAAGCTTTGACTTTAACTTGAATAAGATATATGCTGACTTTCTTATGGATGCTTAATATTAAGATTCGTAGAGCTTGGTACTTACGCAGCGTGCAGTGCCTTCCATTCCAGCCCTGGGAGCAAACGCAGGTGCCATTCTTGCACTGTCCATGCTCCGAGCAGCGGGCATCGCAGGGCAGCTGATCGCACAGATTGCCCGTCCAGCCGGTATTACAACGGCATTTTCCCGACTCGCAGACCCCATTACGGCCACAGTCCAAGCTGCAGACGGCTGTGGGCATGACATTAAAAGAGAGAGAGAGACAAGGTGAGAATGGCATCAAGTAAATTCAATATAAATAAATGAAATTAAATGGAAATGGGATGGCATAGGGGAATGTGTGGGGGCTGGTTTGTGTGGATTGGATTGTGGATCCTGGCATGGTTATTATATTTGTACATATGTGCGTTTAAATTCATTAAAGTGCTGCGCAACATGAACCGACCCCACAGGAAGCAACAGCAGAAGCGAGCAAATTTCTACTCGTTACTCGTCGCTTTTGTACTCGCACTTTAGCGCTTGGCACTCGTTGCCTGCGGCTTATGGCTGTGAAATGTTGCCCCAGCGAGTGAACCATAAAAACAACATTATAAATGTAACATTTACGTGGAGGCAACAAGCGACACAGCCCCATCTCCGCTACCCACCAACCCCTCTCCCTTGCTACGGTGACTTTTGTTCTGTGTCTGCGTCGCAGGCGTAAATTTATTTTATTTGCCCAGGCGAACACACAGCAGCGTAACCTGCGTATTAAATAAATAATGAATTTTTATGAAGCTCTGCTTCATTACACGCCCAACCCACCCAGCCCCTGGCCAGAGGGGTGTGGAGAGAGGTCGCGGCAGGGTTGCCGCCTTTCGGTGCTAAAAAGTTAAGCAAATTAGGCGTGCGTGCCCAAAGACGAGTCCTTTTGCCCTTTGCCAGCGAGCGGAGAGGCAGCCTCTGACCCCATCTTACCCCTCCCCGCAAACTGGCTCCAACTGTACCCTCTGCCCTCTCCCTAACGCCTGTCCACAACCCTCTTTAGTCGCCGAGTCCAACTTCAGTTTGCGAGTGGTTACATCGTAAGCTGCATGTTTTATTGGTCCGCCATCCATGGAAATGATTATGAACCCGGGGCGTTCAGTATTTTATTTTATTCATTTTTTTGTTCATGTCGTTGTTGTAGTTGCTTCTTGGGTAATCGGTAAATTTGTTGCTGCTGCTGCTGCTGCTGTTGTTGTTGTTGTTGTTGGTGGTGATGTTGGCTTCTGGCTTGTCGGCTTTTTGGGCCTAATTGAAGGCTCGGCTTTATGACCATCATCTAATTTGGATTCGGTCCATGCGATAAACCATCATAATGTGTAAGCATACGTAACGCCGCATGCTGTATGCCCCGAAATAATAACTGCATTAGTTGCCATCTGCTTTTATGACAGACCCCTTCCCATTCTCTTGCAACGTATTTTACAGCCCGACAGGGTGGGGGGTAGGTGGGGCGCTTCCTGTTTCATAAACTCTGAGAGACTTCTCATTTGATTGAGCTGACAGACGCGCCCGTTGGGGTATTCCTTATGGCATTTGAGTGTTAGATTAAGTGATATAACGTGTTATATGCCAGCATATATCCTTAAGCGGAGCCTGTCTCAAGCCGAAAGTCATATCTTCTATTTACCATGAACTGCATCTTTAGCCGTATTTGTTGGCTGCAGAATAGCTTAACCGAAACCTAAACCTGACCATGTATTTAATTGTCATTTCATTTTTTTCTTAGCTACAATTACATTTTTAAAAGTTTTCATCTTACGATTTTATCAGTTATATAAATTGGAAAACTAGCTTCTTATGTAAAATCAAAATATTTGTATATATTCAATTGAATTTAATTTTTTATTTCATGAAAGTTGTCTTCAAGGATGTGGGAGAGCCAGGCCTTAAGGCGAGGCATTGTCCCAAACGTTCCCTCAATTTATTAATTATCTGTTCGAGATATCAAGCAATATAGATACCTTATGAAGTTCATCTATGTCCGTTATTAGAGTCTTCACTGTAGTTAAGCCCGTCGGATATATTGTTGTTTTCTTAACTAAACGTTAACTTTATGGATCATAACACATCATCTGGGGAGATGCCACAATTTCCGATAAGTACTTACTATTTTCCACTTCAACTTTTCACAATTTGCCCAAATTCCTGCCCCCTCCCTCACCCGCTAACACATATTTTACCTCCCACTTCAGCTCTCATTTGAATTCAATGCTCGAACTGAAGAATCATTTGTAAGCAGCTTGTTGAACAAAAATATACAAAAAAAAAAAAAAAAAAAAAAAACAAACAAACAAATGAAACACACACACGTAACACCCGCAAACAATATACAAATAACACACCTATTCACACACAAGCACACAAACACATGCACCTATATATGTATGTACATGTGGAAGCACAGAGTGCAATTGTTATTCCGGTTATTTGTACGAGGTGTGAGCAGGTGGGAGCAGGTGGACGAGAGAGGACGGGTGAGTAGAGGGGGAGTCTCATGTATTGCACTTACCTTGCGAACAATCTGGTCCCGTCCAGTGGCGCTCGCAGACGCATTGTCCCGTTTCCAAGTCGTAGGTGCCATGCTCGGAGCAGCCGGGCAGGCACTGGTACACCTGCTGATCAATGGTGCCGCAATCCTCGCCCTGCCAGCCGGCCTTGCAATAGCATTGCCCGGCCACGCAGGTGCCATGGCCGGAGCACAATGGATCAAGGCAATCATCTGCACGATTCCAAATGCAGTCGGTCCAGCCGGTCGTTTGTCGGGGGTTCCGGGTGGACCACACAGACGGGGGGTTGTGTGGGTGTAAGAGAGAGAGAGCAAGCGAGCGAGCGAGCGTGCGGATGTGAAAGAGAGAGGGAGAGAGAATACAAAATGTGTTTTTGTTAGTCGCTTGGCATACAAATACATATACATATACATATACATAAAAAAAAATAACATACAATATGTGCACAGTTACGAGCGAGTGAGCGGGAGAAGCAGACGCAGAGGCAGAGGCGGAAAGACAGGGGCGCAGTGGGTAAGGGTGGGAGGGGGGCGGATTCGCAACAGTCTTGGCAAAACAAAAGCCCGTCACGAACCGATGGCGATACATGCCGCCCGCATACACCAATTTCGGGGTCAGGTCACACACACACACACACACACACACACACACACACACACACACACACACACACACTCACACACACACACACACACACACACATGGACACACACATGACATGATTAGTATGTTGGACACGTACGAAAGTGGTCATTAAAATGAAATTCCAGTTTAGTTCAACTTGGTAATTTTGCGCAGTTGTTGCAATTTTGTTTTCCCTTGCCTTTGCCTTTGCCTTTCATTTCTTTTTTCATTTTTTCGTATGCTCTTCTTCTGCTGCCTTTTTTTGCTGTTGTCCGCTGCTTCTTTTTCTTCTTACTCGCCTAACTTTGATGGCAAGATTTGAAAACTATTCAACACGGCCTGAGAGCAGCTTGTTGTTGTTTTTTTTTAATTTACTTTGTTAGAGATAGAGGTTGGATATCAGAAATTTCAGAAATTATCTAGTATTGTACGGAAATATTTTAATACTCGCCTCAGGCTTTATTTCTCTTTGTTTTTATTTATAATATTTACTTTTAAAACCCGAATTTTCTATAACACCCCACGAATATGCCTATGAAAATGATTGAACTCGAAATAAGTTTAATGAAGTTGACTTGGTACTTAGTATCATCGAATTGAGGTCGGCATCAATTATATCAATAGCTCTTCCTCTTGGTATCGGCTGATTATATATGTGCGTATATATCTGATACTTATCTGCTAGGGTATTCATGATTCGGCCTACCCAAATGTGCTCTATATATTTGCTGTTACTTATATTTTGCGTGTGCGTTCTACTTCTTCACTCTTTCGCTGCTGCTGCTGCTGCTGCTTGTTCTTGCTACTTCGTCTTCTTCTTGAACTTGCTCGTCTTGGCTTGTTGAGCGTTTTGTATGTGAAATATGCTTTCGACATATAAATTCGATTCTATACGTTTTATGTTTGCATTGTTGTTGTTATTGTTCTTCTTCTTTTAGTCGTTCTTCTTGTTGTTGTTGTTGTTGTTCTCGTTTGTTCTGTTTGTTGTTCGCTTGTTTTGTATGCCAAGGGTCCAATACACACACACACACACACACACACACACAAACACACACGCACACACAGCCGGAGTGGGCAACAAGCAATCACATGTACAAGCATTCATGTGTGTGTGTGTGTGTGTGCTGCATATTTTATGCACTTAATTTTTTGCTCAACATTTTTGCTGTTACTTTGTCAGTTGTTGCCCAATTTTTTGTGGCAGCTTTGCCAACAGCGAGCGTTAAAGAGCCAAAAGTAAAACTCAAGTGCTTTAACTGTCGCAAGGGCTGCTGACCGGACCCGGACTCGGACCCGGCCTCGTCCTCGTCCTCGTCCTCGTCCTCGTCCTCGGCCCTGAGCCCAGAAAGTATGCAGCGTTTTCTGTTGCCCTTGTCGCAATTTAAAGCAAACAAATAAATAAACACACACACACACACACGTACACAGGCACAAACTAAACGTGGGGGCGGCATAATAACTGAAATATTTTGGCGTCACCAGGACACGCCCCTGCGCAGGTGGGGCGGTCGGCTGTTACAGCGCCCCACACCCCCCTTTTTAGCAAGCAATAGTGGTAGCTGCTGTCTTATCGGGCCAGTGTCAACATGGCCAAAAAGCCTGGGACCCAAAACAGTTCCCGAAAATTGCAAACAAGGCAAATAAATAATTTTAGCATTTTTATGCCAAGTCGGCAGCACACAAACACACACACATACACACACAAAGGCAGAGACACATTCTAACACTCCAGCACACACAAACACAGACACACACACACATACACAGATACATAGAGACTGGGGCACAGGGTGTTTTTTTTTTTTTTGCGCCTTGACACTTACGTTGATCGCAATAGGGTCCCTTCCAGCCGCGCTCGCAGTGGCACTCGCCCTCGATGCAGCGGCCGTGGCTGGAGCAATTTGGCACCTCGCACTCGCCAACCGGTATGTCGCACTCCGCACCCTTCCAGCCGTCCTCGCAGTGGCAGACGCCGCCGCCGTAGTGGCCATGCGCCGAGCAGAGCACCGGACAAACGCCTGCAAAGAGTCAAGTTAAACAAAAATTAAAGAGTGTGAGCGAGACAGCAATATGGAGGGTGTAACCAGCAGAGACGAGAGAGAGACAGTGTGAATGAGAGAGAGAGGGAGTGGGAGAGGGAACGGGCAGAAGAGAAGAAAAACGAAAATTGGTATTGAAAAGTGTCGGACAAAGGCAAAAAGAAGCAGAGCGGACACTGCAAATAAATAATAAAAATTTTCTCAGGGCACAGTGGTGCGAAGCCAATAGCAAAATGGGGCAAAAATTCATTTGCAGTTAAAATAGGTAATTAAAAAAAAATAGCCATTACATAAAGAGTGCTGGACACTTAAATGAATATGATGTAGTGACGGGGCTGTTAAATTTGTTATCGATTGATCGATTTGTGCATTAAGTTAATAAATGAAATAATCATAATCAATGTCTAAATGCATTAGCCTCTAATTATATGGAAATTATATTGCCAAATTTTCATTGAAAGTTATCGATTATTGATATTTGTAGCGATAACACAGAATATGTTAGCTTCCACCTGAATGACAGACAGGCAGCGGATGCTTGTTTTGATAAAAGATAGTTTATCGAAAGTGTTATCGATAAAACACAAAAAGAAACCTATATGCTCTGATTTGATATTCATGAGTAACTATCAATAGGAATGACTTTCAGGTGATGGATGGAATGTTAACAGTTATCGACATTACTCACGCAACGTTTCACTGTGCCAGTAATTGCTCTGTGAGGAATACGAGTAACTGAGGGTCGCATTTCTAGCATTGCGACTGGATTTGGATTCAGTTTCGGGTTCAGTTCGCCCTTTGGGCGTCTGGCTGGGTTGCCAAAGCAAACAAAAGCAGGTGATGTTGACAGCTCAACTTTGGCGTAAGTTTTTAATTTAAATTGCAGCTTCATAGGGGACAGCGGACAGGGGACAGGGAAGAGGGGACAGAGGAGACGGGTCAGAGGCTGGCTGGGGGAGGAGGCTGGCTTAAGTCTAGAATGAGCTGTGCTGGTACTTACTTTTGGAACAGTCAACGCCTTGATAGCCATCAATGCAGTCGCATTTGCCCAGATAGCAGCTACCACGCCCCGAACAATCATTGGGACAGGTGGTGCTAACGCCCTCGGCCTCCTCGGCGAGCAGGGAAACGGAGTGGGCGACCAGCTCATCATTGTAAACGGATATGAACCACAAGCCAGTGTCCAGATATTGCAAAAGCGAAACATTCACGGTCATTGCATCCATGTCGAGGGCCGGCAAACCACCAGCACCACCATCCGCAGCGGAGCGCTTGTGCAGAGTATGCGACAGGCTGGCTGTGGTGGCATGTGGCATTTGTTGCTTAACATTGTCCGCGGGCGTCTCCAGGTCAAAGTATTCCATAGAGTCCAGGCCGGCTGGCGATTGCTCCTCGCTGCTGGCTTCCATTTCCTCCTCGGCCTGATCCAGATCCTCCTCATAGCTGTTGCTGCGACGACGACGCAGTTGCAACTGCTGCTGCTGCTGCTGCTGCTGTTGCTGTTCCCCTTCCTCGTAAACATCAATCAGGCCTAGATCCTTGTTAGCATGGGTCGAGTTACCGGCACTGCGGCGATGTCGCAAATGGCTATCGAGTCGTCCGCCCTTTATGAACTCCACAAAGTCGTGCTGCGTCACCGAGGGCGCCACATTGCGGCGCGAGTAGACGGCAAAGTGGGCGCCCCAGGGCAGGGTGAAGTTGAAGCGAATGAAGGCCGGATGCTTGTTGCGAAACTCGAGTGTCCAGAATTGATAGGCCGGTATATTGGCATGGTACAGCTCATTGAAGTCCTTCAGCTCAACCACCTGCGGCCATTGGCCACCGCTCAGACCGACGCCCTGCTGCTGCTGCAGCACCGGATGATGATGGCCCGTTTGCTGGAGCAATAGATTATGCTGCTGCTGGCCTAGCCCGCCGGCTGCACCGCCATAGGTAAGTTGATCCTGTAACTGAGTGTTGGTCGCGTCCAGCGGCGTCAGTGGTTGGTTGATGGCGTGTGGCTGCTGCTGCTGCAGAAGAAGTTGTTGCTGTATGCCCGTGGCGCCGGCTGCCGTGCCGGAGCCACCAGTGCCGCCATTGCTGCCATGATCGGAGGTGCTGGTCTGTATCGATTCCTCAGTGGGATAGGCTGTGGCGCCACCCGGTTGCGCCTTGTTGTCGCCGCTTTTGCCTGCGCCGCCGCGCAGATCGTGCGGCTGCGACTTGACGTCTTGGACTAGGATGCAATTGGAGCTGTCCATGTTCGGTTTCATCGAACTGACTGCTGCGTAAAGAGTGAAAGAGACAGAAAGGGGAAGAGAGAGAAAGAGAGAGAGAAAGAGAGAGAGAGAGAGAGAGAGAGAGAGAGAGAGAGAGAGAGAGAGAGAGAGAGTGAGACATTTGGTTAGTCCTTTGTGGTTTTTGGCTGCGATTTGCAAGCTGGGACACAAATGTGCGACCCGGCCCCATAAATCGCATGACTGCTAAATTTAACGCCATAAATCTGATGCTCCTCTGGGCGAGAAACAGCAGCGCCAGCAGCACCACTGGCAATAATGTTTAGTGTGGTGCTGTCCTTGTGGCTCACCGAATCCACCAGCTGCTGTATGCTGCAGGCGCTGCTACATTTTGAGTGTGTGTTTGTGTGTGTGTGTGTGTGTTTTTTTGTTCACATACATAAATTTTTGGCATCATATTTTAACGCCATATTAATATGCACTCGCCCATAAATCAATTCTGTGTCCTTCCCGCTCGCACACACGACGTCTAACTCTTTCGCACGTTTGCCACATGCGCCACACACACACACATACACACACACACACACACACAGCTGAGTAGACACAAAATGCGCGTTGTTAACACGTTCGCATTTTGCTTGCCATCGATGGACGACGGCTATCGTTTATCGATAACACATCAGATTTATGTGCTTTGGCTGCGATGCCAGCTGCCGTGGCAGGCGCTTCCACACGCGCTTATCTGGGCCAACTTGCCAAATGGAATGCATTAAATTTGCAGTAAATTTCAAATGGTATAGCAAGAGCAGTTGCATCAATCATGATTGAAATGCAGTTTTACGCATTTAACCAGTGTGCGCAAACAATCACAGTTTGTCTATCCCCCAAATTATTTTGAATGAATTTAAATGCAAGCTCAATTTTCGAAGTTCCTGTCAACCTCAGTCTTCAATCAAGCTCAATCTTGGCTGATTGTGATTTATGATTATTTTGATGATGCGTTCAAATACATGTATCGCATATGCTGTCATCAATTATATTTACTGTCAATCATTTCTTATGCTCTAACAGTCAAGCAATCAATCAATCAATCTTTCATAAATCTCTTGATATTCATTATCATTAGCCATTTGAAAATTTAAGCACCAACATTGAAAGCACTTACAATCGGTTAACAATAGCAGTCCAATTAGTCAATCAATTTCAAGCCAATCAATCATAAAACATCGTTTATTCTTTTTAATGTTTAACAAGGCAATTAGACAAAGCGACTTGCGGGTTCCTATTGATATTATGTGAATGGGCCTCCGTCTGAGAGAATCGGGAACAGAAAACGGGAAAAGGCATGGAAAATGGGGAATGCTAATGGCGCCCCACAAAAATCTATTCATACCCCGCTCCCCTCGCCCACACCTGCCTCAGCTGCTTGACAACGCCCAAACATGTAAACTTATGCGACCTAATGATGTCGATGCCGTTGTCTATGGCCGGTGTCTTGGCAATGCGCGTAACCCAAAGAACAAACAGAGCTGCAGACAGGCCGAAAAAGCAGAAAGGTAGACAAAGGACCTCCACATATACGCAATTACTCATATGAGGCACGACAAATTAACGTCAACGAACGTGCTTCAATTTGGCTGTTGAGCTTTTAATTTAAGTGAACGCACGTGTACTATTGTCCTATATGTGCTTGTAGGGCGCCTACACTGAGAAAAAGAAATGCCTTGACACATGTTTGCATTCCAAGCAGACATTTTAATTATCGAAGCTGATTGATTGATTGATGCCTCCAGCCTGTTTCATTATTTCGGTTGCCAGACAAGACTCTCTGATGTAAGCTAAAGAGAAGCCCAAAATTGAAGTCTACTTATTACAAAGCAGTCATCGAAAATAGTCCACAAAGAAAACAAAAATAAATGTTGATGCATCAATTTATCGATTAATCGAAGAACGTAAACAACTAAAGACAAAAATACTGTAAAACGTAGAAGTCGACACCAAGATTGAATACTTGATTCTATGTGCCAACCCCATGCCAAATATAACACAATGAGTAAGGAGTACACACACACCCACACACCCACACACACACAGATACACACTATGTGTGTGTGTGTATATTATATAGCCCATCATTAATAAATAAAGAGCGAGAAAGAGAAGCGGCAAGGGGAGTGGCATGTAGTTCTATTAAGTTAACAAGCTTTTCATTTAAGTGGCTCGCAACTGGTCGAACAACTGGAACTGGAATTGGAACTGGTAGGGGAACAAAAAGTGGAACTGGAGCCTGCCAAAGGACACGCGCGGGCTCAAACAAAACAGTAGACAAACAAATTGAAGAAGTGGCCGTTGTAGGGTGACTGCAGGGGGGAAGGGGGGTTATAGACGAAAAAAAAAACATAGCTCGGCACAGTTTTTCCGCGCCTCTGGTGGGAAAGAGGGTGGGGAGGGGGCTGTAACACAGCACCAATTAAATTTGATTACAATTTGTGGCAAAAGCCATAGGAAGCACATCACACACGCCGGGCCTCCCCCTTCCGACCACGAAATAAGCAACCCTACCAAGGATATTTAGCGAGAGTGGGGGTTGGGGTTGGGAGTGTGGAAAAAGTCGATAAATTTGAGTGTGTGTGTGTGTGTGCGGGGAGCAGCATAAAATTGACAACGGCTCAATTTGGCAGAACAGAGCCGCACACAGGACATCGATAGACGAGTTACAGGACACAGGACACTCCTTTTAATGTCAAGTCGTTATTTATATTTAGCCATCAGCTAAGCCCCGAGAAAAATAACAGTTTGAAAGGGTGTGTGAATTCGATTTGTGGAATTTTGTTTGTTTTCCTTTTTGCTGGTCACACGCAATAAGCGGAACCGGAAATGCGAGCCGTTAAGATCAAATAATTGAATCTACGTGCTCCAAGTGCCAGCAAGTGGCTCTTCAAGCTAATGAGAGAGTGAGAGGGAGAGTGAGAAAGAGAGATAGGGAGTGGTCGAAGAGGCGGGGTGGTGAGAGAGGGACATGGCAAAGGGTTGCAAAAGTTGGCCATGTCCAGGACAAAGTTACAAAAATTTATGAAGCGTTTTCTTAATTGCACTTCCTTGAAGAAAAATAATTTATTTAAACGACAAGCGCACACCTTTTCCTCTAGCAGCTTGTTACGGCGCCAGCTGAAGAGGGCTAAGGCTGGCGGCTGAGTAGGGGGGAGGGCGGGAGTTAGAGGTCACGCCCTGACTGACTGTTGGAATAGTTGCTGCTGCTGCTGCTGCTGCTACCTGTCAGCGACAAATGTCGTGTTGCGTCATTTTAATTGAAATATTCTTTGAAAAATACTTTTTCCTTTGGCAATTGGCGCAAGTTTTAATGGTCGAAACTGTTTGGCAACAAACGACATGTACTCGAAGTGCGGCTATACCCTAACTGAAAGTCTCTTTTAGGCCGGGTCGTTTGCTACAAAACGGACAACAAACCCAAATAGAAGTTGGAGAAACTCTCAGTTGAACAACTCTCACCATATTCTGCTATATATGGGCATCGAACTTTATTGGTATCATTTATAGCTATTAAAAAATATTTCAAAAAGCATTTTCCCTTGTGTAATTGTGTATGTGTGCTATTGAGTCTAGGTAAGAAGCCACTCTCAAAATGTACATTAGTTTTCAAAGATTTGAATAGTTACAAAAAATATTTTCTTTACTCATTTTCCTTGTTGCAAATGTTCGAGGCAACTCTGGCTACTTGCTACTTGCTACTTGCTACTCGTTACTCGTTGCTTAACATTCTCTACTCGGTATTTTTTGCTTGACTAATTTGCGTTCTTTGTTGCGGTAAGGCACAGGCAACGTCAGTCGATTGACCGCATGCAAGCACAAGAGATTTCCAAGAATTGCTTAGAGATGCCAGAAAACCACAAAATGCAAGTAGGAGCGAGAGAAGGAGCGTGGGGGAGACAAACCAAATCGAGTGACTAATTGACTACAGTAAAGCCTAAAAAAGAAGCACAGCTTGTGGCTAAACTCAAGTGAGAATATATCACAATGAATCTGCACAAGCAGGGAGGGGCAACTGCTGCAATTGAATTGAAGTGCTCTCAAAAGCACAGCAGAGCGCAAAAACAATCAAGTCTGGTTAAAGTTGCCAGCGCTCAAGCGTTGCCAGATTGTTGCTGTCAAACCAATTGACAGACGGTGCGCATCTAATTTCCAGGAAAGCCGCAGAGGAGCCCAAAGTGCCCGAAGTGAATGCTATGTGAATGCTTTGTGAATGCTATGTGAGTGCTATGTGAATGTGCATGCCAAATTAAATGCTCGCAGGTGCCCAGCAGCAAATTAAGTGTTTGAACCCGACAAAGCGCAGCCGAAAACATGCAAATAAATTCATGAAATCGCATTAGCCATGAGCTGCTCATATGGCAAATGACAACGATGAGTAGCCAGAGGATAGGCAGGGGGCGGGTGGCACACAATTTGTGAAACAGTGCATATCGAATGAGTTTCCGATAGTTTATTCGCTTAAAAATCGATTAACCTATTTCCGATAACTACTGCAATGCGCATCCGCATCCGCAGCCTGGCCAGCCCTATAGACCACCCCCGATGACACCCTTTGAACTGCCAGTCAAACATGTTAAATGTCCTGATTGCTGCCGCTTGTGCCTGCCCCCTGCTGTCAGGCAATATCATTGTTGTTGTTGCTGTCGCAGCTGTTGCAGTTGCACTTATCGCTGCTGCCATTGCAGTTGTTGTTTTTGTTGTTGTTGTTGTTGTTATTGTTATGATAGAAAGTGACGCATCAGTGGTAATTCGAACCGTGCCCTGCTCAAACGAATTTGTGCATACAGCAACAACAACAATTGCTTGGCCAGGCTGCGTTTGTTGTTGCTGCTGCGGTCGCTCCACATGGCACGTTGTTGTCCCGTTGACACTGCGGTCGATTATCTCATAGATATGACAGATATATCGCATACATTGGCTAGCAAATTATGACAGTCATTTGCGCGCACACACACACACACACACACAAGCACACAGAGAGTCCCACACACGC